CCCCAGGGGTGGCTGGGGGCATAGGGACATGGGGGGAGGGGAGGTGTTGCCCCAGGGGTGGGGGGTCCTGCATTGGGACTGGTGGGGGGTGGGGGGTTGCAGAGCCAGTGATCCCCCTGGGCAGGTGAGCAGGCGGGTTGGCCCTGGAAGGGCAGGACTCCCTGCATGGGCCTGGGGGAGAAGGGGGCTCCCGTGGGCCACCTCCTGCAGCTGTGCCCCTTGTACTGTGCAGCTGGCAGACCTGGAGACCCTGAAGCAGTCCTCGCGCCTGGTTCACTACTGTGCCACACCACTGCTCTTCGACCCAGCTTTCCGGCAGCAGATCCAGGCCGACCAGCAGGCGAAGCTGGAGGGGAAGGTGAGCGACTCACCAAGTGTGCTGTGACGGGGCCCACCCTGTCTGAGCTGCAGCCTTGTCCCAGGGAGGGAGCCAGCTTCCCCAGAGCTGGAGGAGGGGCTCTGCCCCAACTGTGCAGGGCCAGGCCACTGGGCTAGAACCAGCCGGGCAGTTCCTGTGTTCCAGCACTCGGGGGCAGCAGCTGAGCAGCTATCAGCCAGCAGGTCCCTCTCTCCGCGGGCAGGGCAGCGCCTGCTGGCCGTTCTCTACCGCAGGTGCTAGCTGCCCCGGCTCCCTTGTCTTTCAGAAGCGCCATCGCTCGAGCGACTCGACGGCGTCGGGGCGGGACCGGAGCCACAGCTGCGACTCGGCAGAGGTGCTGCCCTGCAAGCTGAAGGAGGAGCCCTGGCTGCAGGAGATGTGCAACGCCTTCCTGCAGCAGTACATCCAGTACCTGCAGAGCATGGGTTTCATCCTGGTGCAGGTGCGGCCCCCCTCGCCCGCCCGCAGGTCAGTGTGACGCCGAGACCCCCCACCTTTGTGCAGAGCGATGCCCGGGCAGGCAGGGCATGCTTGCAGAGTGACTCTGGTCAGCTGACTTTGTTCTGTCTGCTTTGCAGTAGCGCAAGCCGGATCCGAGCTCTGGCATTCCTGGGCACTGAGGGGAGAGGCTCCTTCTCCTGCAAGCCCAAAGCAGACGGGAGTCCGAAGGTGAGAGCCGAGTGTTAGGGCGGGCATGGGTCACTGCTCCGCTCACATGCCTGCTCTTGGCTACTCACCAGGCTGCTGTGAGCAGAGCCAATCATGGGATCTTGGAGGTTCTACGCGTCCCTCTCCTGGGGCCTCTGGGCATGCCCTCGGCGTGCCCGTCCAGGATCTAGCCCCCTCTTCTGACAGCTGCAACCCAGCAGTCCCCTGCCCAGTCCCTGGACCCAGTTCTGACCCTTCAGGCTCCTTCCACAGCTTATTCATCCCCTCTCCCAGAGCTCCAGCTTGGGGGCGTGTTCTGGGCCCAGGTGCCTCTCACGGGGCACGTGAATAGTGTAACACACAATGCAGTGTGATGCTCTGCTTGTCGCACAAGGAAAATCTGCCTGTAGGAAACTGAGGGAGCCCAGTCTGCGGTGGTTAGGGGAATTGGTCGTGGCTGCCATCCCACCTGGGGAGGAGAGCGCCATAGCAGAGGGCTCTTCTGGTGGCTGGGAGTGGAAGCGAGACCACCCAGACTAGAAATAAGGCACAAATGAAGCTGTGAAGTTGATTAACCATCAGAACAACTCACCCAGGGATGTGGGTGGAGTCTCCAGCAGTCTCTTCACCCAGACCGGGAGTGTCTTTCTGCGAGATCTGCTGTAGCTCAGGGTGTGTCTACACTGAAAATGGTACAGTGGCACAGCTGTGCCGTTGTAGCATGTCAGTGTAGGTGCTACCTATGCCAACGGGAGGAAATCTGCGGGTAGTCCGCTTCCCCAAGAGGCGGCAGCTGGGTTGACAGAAGAATTCCTCCATCAACCTAGCATTGTTTACACGGGGGGGGGGGGTGTTAGATCGGCTTAACTATGCTGTTCAGAGGGGTGGATTTTTCACACACCGAGTGACCCAGTTAAGCAGAGTAAATCGCCCAGGCCTCAGCGAGAGGTTCTGGGCAGGAATTGGTGGGGAGGGTCTCTGTGCCGGGCTGCGGGGGAGAACAGCCCCTCCGGTGTCCCGTCAGGCTTAGTCTCCAAGTGTCAGTGTATCCACCATGGCCCTAGGTTTGTTGTAATGCAGGTTACGGACCCTTGACCAGAAACCTCCTCCCAAGGTGGGCGCCTCCAGACAAATCTCCTCTTCCCCTTCTCTCAGATAAACAGACCGAGCCCCTGGTCCCCCTGGATCCCCCTCCCGACTCCAACAGTGTGGGGAACAAAAGCTGGCTCCAGAGGGAGGGACGCCCATGCCAGCTGCCTCTCCTAGCTGGTGCCGCCTGGCTCTTGGCATGGATGGTGGCTGCTGCTGGCGCCAGCACCCACCTGCCTTCTGATCAGATCTCTTCCTCTTCTCTCCAGAGCACAAGCCCCCCAGTCACCACCTACCACCTGCAGAGAGCCCTCCCGGGCGGCATTGTGCTCATGGAGCTGGGCTTCCAGGTGAGTGGGCAGAGATCTGTCGTCCCCAGCCGGGTTCTCTGTGCCCAGCTCACTTAGGGCTCTCGTGGAGCTTCTGCGTAGTGTCTGCAATGGTGGGCTGCAGCCACCAGCCAGCCTGGGGCCTTGTTCTCATGTGCCAGCCATGCTCACGCTGTGCTGGGCGCTGTCCCGGTGCGGGCGGGCGCTGCCCCTGCCCTGAAGCGCTAGCTGCTGAAGGAGACGAGCCCCCCATGGCAGATGGGAGCGGAGACGCTGTCTAGACAGAGCTGTCCCTCGTCTGGCCCTGCCCAGTGCACTTCCTCCCAGATGAGCCCAGGAAGGGCCTGGCATGCCCAAAAGGCAGCGAGGAGGGTAGTGAGATGAGCAGGGAAGGGGTAGGGCTTAGCCACGCCCCAGGGAGAGGGTTTTCATGGCTGGTTGGGACTAGAGTGGTGAGGCCAGAGATGGGAGGGCCAGGCCAGAGATCTGACGCCTGGCCCAGGGGAGCTGAGGCAGGATTGGGGTGTGGCCTGGCTATGTGCACAGGACCCTGCTGGGCCTTTGGGAGGCTGTCGGCAGCAGGGCCATGCCTGCCCATGGGCCGTGTGCTTAGTGCGCTCTCTCTCCAGGGCTGTTACTTTTGCGTGAAGCAGTATGCGCTGGAGTGCTCGCGGATCCCCATGGGCCAGTCCGTCAACTCACAGGTAACAACTGGCCTGTGGGCGCTTGCTCTGTCCTGGCTGCTCCGGGCCTGGGCAGGCAGGGCTGGAATCTCCAGCTTGCTACCTGCCGGGACAGCTCCGGGTAGCACTTCCACCTTTCCCGAGGCCCGGCCTGGGCTGACTTCCTACAGTAAGAGCAATAGCTCCCCTGCTTCACTTGAACAAGGGGGAAGCAGGGCCAAGAATGCACATGGAGTGACCTGGGCTGGGAGAGGCCGTTCCAGCACCATGCACTGCTATGCCCTCTGCAGTGCCTTGGGGCTGCCCCAGTGGAGCAGTGATAGGGTGTAGAGCGTGCCAGCTTTCCAGGTCTCTCTTGTGAGGAGTGGGCTGCTGCCAGAGGGGCCAGCCGTCCGTTGTCCGCTGCCCTACCAGTCTGTGCTGGGTGCAGGAGGCCTCTGGGAATGGGGCACATGCTCTCCTTCCCCAGGGAGCCAGCGCCCTATACGTGCCACTGGGCGAGGGGCAGGGGACCTGGTCCTACCGGGAGCTGATCGCCCCGGCTGGCTGGTGGGGCTGTTCCCGTGGGTTGAAGTCTGCCAGGCCCTCGAAGCAGCTGCTGAGGGCACATGGAGCCTGCTTTCTGGGGAGCCTTTGCGTGGGGCCCAGCTATAGACCCCCTCTAGGCTCCGGCAGGGGGCCGGGTCACCCCAGTAGGTCACCCAGGGTTCTGCAGTGGGTGGCAGGCGTTGTCCCACCTCTGCTGGGGCATCTGATGAGGAGATACTGCCCAGTCCTTCAGGGGTGCTTGGCCTCCCTCTGCAGTGCAGGGAGCGCTGGGCAGGGCTGGCTAGCATGGGGCTCATTGCAGGTGCTGGGACTGCAGGGTCAGCCCCTCTTCCACAGGGGCTGGAGTGCTGTCTCCTCCCTGTGGCCCCTGGAGGGCGGGCAGGACACAGGGGCAGGCATGGGCAGTGCCAGGCACTGTCCCCTTTCCCACTGGCTGCGCGTCTCCTCTCTCCATCAGGGTGCTCTCACGGCCAGAGCTCGTAGCAAGAGCTGCATGGGACCCAGCTCCATCTCTGAGTCTGCGGTATGTCCTCTCCTCCCACTACTGCCCTGGCACTGCAGCATCTCCCCGTGCAGGGCTGGGGCTCGCCCTGCCAGGCATGCTGGGTGCTCTGTACCCACAGCCCCTTCCTGCCCTGGGTGCTGGCTGATGCTGGGCCTCTTGCTAGCTGGTTCCCGTGGGGGAGACATCCCAGCAGGCAGCTGGGCCCTCAGGAGAGGGCTTGGAAACAGCCTCGCTCGTCTTGCTTCTCTCTCCAGGGCTGGGGCAAAGGCGCCTCTTGCTGGGCTCACTTCTTAGATCCGCTTGGTGTCCTCTCTGCTGCTGGCACAGGGTCAGGGTGCTGCGTTTGGATGCAGCGAGTGCTGCTGCCTGGTCCCCTTGGCTGCTTGTTCACCCCATTTCTCGAACGCTCGGGGCCAGCTCTGTTCCCCTGGGTGACACCCAGAGGGCATCCCTGTGAGGAATCAAGGCGCTGGAGCCAGCCCAGCAATGCCAGTACCTCGTGGGCAGTGTGACCGGAGCACACTGCGCTCTGGTGATCCTGGACCAGGGCAGGTACTGCGGCATACTTCAGAGTGCCCTCGAGGCTGCTCTAGCTTGTGCTCCGGCCCAGTTGGCCTCTGGCTGCCCCAGGATCCGGATGGGGGAAGCCACCTCTGCCGCCTCCTCCTCAGGCCTTCTGGGAACTGGCCTTGTGTGTCAGCTGTGCTCAGTTAGGATGGGGTGTGTCTGCAGTCAGAGCTGGCCCAGGCGAGCCATCCGCAGCGGGTTCCCAGCAGCTGTGCTGCTCCTGCTGGGGGGCTGCCAGTGGCTGAGCTGGA